TTTTTTTGTTTGTGAGTGCAGGCTTCCAAATGATTGACAGTCTGGTGGAGTCATCTCTTCTAGTCATGCTCATTAGAACACACACACACACACACACACACACAAAAACCACTTACATTTTCTTACAACTGTTTGGAGTGTCACATACATATAGTTTTTGACTTACAATTGTAATTGAGCTGGAATTATAGTGATGTTGAAAGAATTATCCTTCTGGGTCCAGTTCCAAGTGGGGAAAAAGACACTGGAAACATGAAGGCTATTTAGAAAGATAGTTTAATGGTAGATCAGACCACGTGGCCTGGAGCTCCAGAGTGAAAAGGAAGGATGATCACATGCTCCAAGGTGAAGGAAGAGATCAAGAAAAGGTGCTGAGGTGCTGAGAGGGCCTGGGTTTTATAACCTTTGTTGGGATTTGAATTGGAGCTTGTATTCTGATTGGTTGTCAGACTCCCATGGGGCCACGCAGGGGCAACTCTGTAGGCTGTCCTGGGTTCCAGGCTTGGCTGAGCCTGGCTGGATGATGATGCACTGAAAAGGGCTTTTGGCAATTGCTATAGCTTTACCTGGAGATCTTTGTTATGTAAAGTATTCTGGCCCCGGCCTTAATGGCCCACCCATTAACAAAGGTGGGGGTGAGTTTCTGCTTCTGAGTTTCTACTCTTTTTAAAAGACATATTCTGCCTTTTTAATATTTCCTAGGATATTTCAATTTTCTAGGAGACGGGTAGGTGCTAACTTCCTACAGTGATAAGTAATGGCAGTCACTAAACAGGTCACTTCATGACATCACTGATCACAAATGGACTTTCTTAACAACTGCCATGTTTACAAACCTTCTTCTTCTTCTTCTTCTTCTTCTTCTTCTTTTTCAAACATAGCCATTGTGAAGTGAAGTCCATTCTATCCAATAGGCATTTTTGCTAGAAACCAGAAGTTGTAAATTGTGGTCGCATGATGGAAACTGTTGCAAACCACTGAAAATGCCCAATGGCCAAATGTCCCAAACCAGGTTGTCAGTTACTCTAACTTTGAAAAGTTACTAAGCAATTGGTCATAAGTTGAGGACTCTCTGTGTTACAACGTTGGCTGTGACGCAACACACCCAGATCTGGTGGTTTTGAGATAGGTTAGGCTACAGCATATCCTGGCTGAGGAATTCTGGGAGTTTAAGTCCACACATCTTAAAGCTGCCAGAGTTGACAAACACTAATTCACAACACAGGTAGCCCTCGACTTACGGTTGGTTGCAACTGAGCCCCCAACATTCTTTTGCTAAATGAGACAATTGGCAAATGAAATTTGCTCCATTTTACAACTTTTCTTGCCACAGTTGTTAAGCAAACCCCTGCATTTGATGGGTTACTGGTAATACCTGTCTGTTAAGTGAATCTGGATCCCCCATGGATTTTGTTTGTCAGAAAGTCGCAAAAGGGGATTGTCAGGATTCCATTTAAATCATGAGTCTCGAGCCAAACTTCCAAAACTTAAAAAGGATTTATTGAGAGTTAACATGTCCAGCACTGCCTGGGTGTAGCCGACTCTGAGACACACAATTCACTGTCACCCTTGGCCCTGTTTTCCCCCCCACCCCTTGGGTATATTCTCCAATGGGACACATCCCTAGCCAAGAGTCATCCATCATGCTCTCCAGTTAGAATTTTGCACGGCAGAAACTTCCGTCACCTGGAAACTATCTTTGAAAATGTTGATGGAATGCAGTTTCGGTTTTGCAAGCTGCTGCACTGCTCCTCCCTCCCTTTCTGTTGGCAACTCTTAAAAAGACCATAGAAATATTTTATGAGTTGACAGGGATCGTGTGACCTCAGGGACACTGCGACCATCACAACTATGAACTAGTGGCACAAGCATCTGAATTTTGATCAGGGGACCGTGGCAGAGGATGCTGCAAAGGTTGGAATGGAAAAAAACAGCCATAAGCAGGGGTGGGCTTGGAAAATGTTAGCAACGGGTTCTCTGCCCAGTGGCTGGGTAGGCGGGACCATGGTGGCCGTGGCCTAGTCGGCCTCCTGCACCATGGTGGCAGTTTTTGTCCTCCCTGGGCTCTGGAAGCTTTCTTCGAACCTCCAGGAGGGTGAAAATGGCCTCCCCGGGCTCCAGAGGCTCCCGTGAAGCTGGAAACAGGCCTGTTTCCAGCCTTCCTGAACACCCATTTTCTGCCCTCCCTGAGCCTCTGCGCATGCCCTGCATTTACCTGCATTGAAAACGGGCCGCATGGGGACTCCGGAAAGGTTGTTGTGGGCAGGGCCAGGCAGGAGTGGGATATGGGGCGGGGGAGTTTCTCTGAACTGCACAGAATCTTAGCTAGGTGCTCTCCCGAACCCCTGCGAACCCCCAGCAGCCCAGCCCTAGCCAGATGTCACTTTTTCCAGCGTTGTTGTACATCTGAACAGTCACCCAACGAACCTCCCGTATTGGAGTTTGCCCTAAAAATGTGTATTATTAGCGCCACCTGGTGGTGATGACAGGACCCTCTTCCCCCCCCCCCCCCGGCTTCAAATGAAATGGCTTCAAGAACCGACGTCTAGATTCGGGGCTTTCTAGCTCTTTTCCTTCCAACCTGTTTCCTCTTTCCCCTCCTTCAGATTTTCCTTTGGGTTGGGAAAACTGCCAACAGCTATGAAAAGACGGAGTCCGTTTCTGCAGCCAAAGAATATTTGAAGAACCACCCAGCGGGGAGAGATGTAGCAACCCCAATCATCACCGTCAAACAAGGTCATGAGCCCCTGAACTTCACCGGTTGGTTCACTGCCTGGGACCCTTACAAGTGGAGCGTAAGTCCAAAAACAATTTTGGGGCTACCTGAACGTTTAGTCAAAATTGGCCGCCATTCGTCTTTCTTGTATCTTGTTTGAAAACTCAAGTCTTGCAAATTGTGATGGGGAACGGAGGCCAGTGGTGTATGTAGCCCCACCTGAGGGTGATGATGGCAAAGGGAAGGTTTGCAACGCAGCTGTGAAACTAAGATCAGAAGGAAAAGGCGAATTGAAGAAGAAAATGTAGGTTTAATCATGAAGTAGGCAGCCCATGCCCCATTGGGTCAGGGTTTCAGAGATATTTCCTCACCTAAATAGAGAAACAGAATGAGTAAGGCTGGAGAAAGACACAGCAGAAGAGAGAAGCACCTTTAACTTCCTACTTCCGTTGAGTTTCTTTGTGGGAGTCTGGCAAGAAGCATTGGAAATCTTCCTCCCTCCCTTCCTCTCTCCCTTCATTCTTCTTTCTTTCATCCTTCCTTTCTTCCTCCCTCCCTCCATTCATCCATCCCTCTTCCTCCCTTCTTTCCTCCCTTTCCCCCTGCCTCCCTCCCTTCATCCTTCTTTCTTTCATCTTCCTGCCTCCCACCCTCTGTCCCTCCAACCATCGCTGCCTCTTTCATCTTCCTTCCTTCCTTTCTTCCTCCCTCTCTGCCTTCCTCCTTCTTTCTTTCACCTTCCTCCCTCTAGCCATCTCTCCCTTTCTCCTCTCTCCTTCCTTCCTTTCTTCCTCACAGCCTCCCTCCCTTCAAACCTTTCTTTCATCTATCATCCTTCCTCCCTCCCTCCCTTCTTCTTTTTTCATCTTCCTTCCTTCTTCCCTCTAGCCATCTCTCCCTTTCTCCTCCCTCCCTCCCTCCCTCCCTTTCTTCCTCACAGCCTCCTTCCCTCCCTTCAAACCTTCTTACTTTCATTATCTTCCTTCCTTCCTTCCTTCGTTTCTCAACATAGTTCCTGCAGAAATTATTGAATATAGTTTAATCATTTTGTACCCGTTACACTTTGCACAGTGTAACATGTACGATCCACAAAACCATTGCAACAGTCCAACCTCGGTGTAATTAAAAGAAAGATACCGTTAACGGGCTGAGAAAATGTTAATTAAAAACATATTTTAGATTGAAGGACAAGCTGGTTGTACAATTCCCATTTCCTTGCCTCTGGAAAGTTTCCTTCAGATTTATGCCAGCAACAGTGCTATACGGCTTAACTTAATCATCCCTTTATTTTCTAAACCATGATCCCTTCTGTGCTCTTTTAGGATGGGAAGTCTTATGAACAGATGAAGAGCAGTTTAGGGGATGTATCTGCCATATCAGAAATTACAATGGTGAGTACACCTGATGGACTGCAGAGGTGCGAGTTGGGGGTTGCCTCCTTCCAGGAATTTGGGATCCCACATATAAAGCAAATGAATTAGGGGATACCTGAACAAGGACAAGTTCTCCATTAGCATTACTGTCGAGCCATTGAGCTGTGGTGGCAGAGTGGTTAGAATGTAGTATTGCAGGCAGACTCTGCCGACTGCCAACAGTTTGATCCTGACCAGCTCAAGGTTGACTCAGCCTTCCATCCTTCTGAGGTGGGTAAACTGAGGATCTAGATTGTTGGGGGCAAGAGGCTGACTCAAACACAAACACAAGCAACAGAACATAATGACACCAGAGTCTTGGATTTTAAAAAAGCTGATTTCAATAAACTAAGATAGAACTTAGGAAAGATTCCATGGATGAAAATCCTAAAGGGGAAAACAACTCAAGAATCTTGGGAAACTCTAAAAAGTATGATCATAGAAGCCCAGACCAGCACAATACCACTGAGAAAGAAAAACAAGATTTCTTTTCTATATTTATCTATTTTATATGTTTTTATTCATTATACTTATATTTTCATCTGGCTTGTTTACAATTATTCTCTTCTAACATTCCTCCAAGTTTTTATTAATTCTCAATCAAACATAAACACACAAAACACAAAACATAGAAACATAAAACTTCTTTTTGGAAAGTGGCTTAACCCCGGGTTACATCTTTTTGTACAGACCTAAATCAAATTCATGCTCATCTTGTATACCATTACTTATCTTATTTACCATTCTATATTATATAATTGAATAAAAGTAAAGGGAGAAATAACGAGAAATTTGAAAAAGATATGTATGTGTTTATATGGAAATGTGATAATTTAGAACTATGCTGTATAAAACAATGTTTTACTTGCCTTGTTAAAATTTACAAGTAGTTTTCAGAAAAGAGGTTTTATGTTCTTATGTTTTGTTTGTCTTTAAAAACTAATAAAATTTGTATAAAAAAGAAGAAGAAAGAAAAACAAGATATCCAAGAAGAAACCAGCATGGCTGCACAAAGATCTCTCTGGCAAATTGAACGAAAAAAAGGACAAGTACAAAAAATGGATAGAAGGACAAATAACTAAGGCAGAATATCAGCAGATAGCCAGAATCTGCAAAGACGAAGTCAGGATAGCAAAGGCTCAGAATGAACAAAGACTTGCAACAAAAGTCAAAGATAATAAAAAAAGTTTCTTCCAACATATAAATAACAAGAAAAAAATCAAGGAAACAATCAGTCCGCTAAAGAGAGAAGACAGCAAGGAAGTAACAGGCAACAGAGAGAAAGCAAAACTGCTTAATTCATTCTTTGCCTCTGTCTTCACGCAAAAAGAAACTATAGCTCAACCCACCAAAAACATAACTGTAAAAGACAAACCAGAAATAAAAGCTAAAATAAGCAAAAAAATAGTAAGAGAACACCTGTCTGATCTTGATGAAAACAAATCACCGGGGCCTGAATGGATTACATCCCAGAGTTTTAAAGGAGCTGGCAGAGGTCATCTCAGAACCACTGCACCATATCTTTCAAAAATCCTGGAGCACCAGGGAACTACCAGAGGACTGGAAAAGAGCTGATGTGGTTCCCTTCTTCAAAAAAGGGGGAAAAACCAGACCTAGGAAACTACAGACCAATCAGCCTAACATCAATACCCGGGAAGATACTGGAAAAGATAATAAAAAAACATCTGCTAACATCTAGAAACAAGTAAAGTAATAACTAGCAGTCAGCACGGGTTTGTTAAAAACAGATCATGCCAAACCAATCTCATTTCATTCTTCAACGAAGTAACTAAATTAGTAGACCAGCAAAATACTGTGGACATAATATATTTAGTTTTCAGCAAGGCATTCAATAAAGTAGACCACAACCTACTTCTTAGTAAGCTAGAAAAAAGTGGAATAGATAGCACCACCACTAGATGGACTCGCAACTGGCTGGCAAACTGTACTCAACGAGTAGTCCTTAATGGGTCTAAGTCTACATGGAGGGAAAGTAACCAGTGGGGTGCCACAAGGTTCCGTCTTAGGCCCAGGACTCTTCAATATCTTCATTAACGACTTAGATGATGGAATAGAAGAGGAACTTACCAAATTTGCAGGTGATACTAAGCTGGCAGGAATAGCTAACATCCAAAAAGATAGGCTCAAGATCCAGAGGGATCTTGACAGACTAGAACACTGGGCCATATCTAACAAAATGAAATTCAATATAGAGAAAAGTAAAGTCCTACACTTAGGCAAGAAAAACCAAAAGTACACATATAGACTGGGTGAAACCAGGCTCAATAGCAGTAACTGTGAGAGGGATCTTGGAGTCTTAGTGGACAACCAGCTAAATATGAGCCAGTAGTGTGCAGCAGCAGCCAAAAAAGCTAATGCAATCCTAAGTTGTATTAACCGAGGGATACAGTCAAGATCAAGGGAAGTACTAATACCACTCTATAAAGCCTTAGTAAGACCACACCCAGAATACTGCATCCAGTTTTGGTCACCACACTATAAAAAAGGATATTGAGACTCTAGAAAAAGTACAGAGAAGAGCAACCAGGATGATTAGGGGACTGGAGGCTAAAACATACAACGAACGGTTGCAGGAAATGGGCTTGGCTAGTCTAGTGAAGAGAAGGACCAGGGGAGACATGATAGAGGTCTTCCAATATTTGAGGGGCTGCCACAGGGAGGAAGGGGTCAAGCTATTTTTTAAAGTGCCTGTAGGCCAGACAAGAAATAATGGATGGAAACTGAACAAGAAGAGATTTAACCTGGAAATAAGGAGAAACTTTCTGACAGTGAGAACAATCAGCCAATGGAACAGAAGTTGCCCTCTGAAGTTGTGGGAGCGCCATCACTTGAGACTTTCAAGGAGAGACTGGACTGCCATTTGCCAGAAATGGTGTAGGGTCTCCCGCTTGGGTGGAGGGGGGTTGGACTAGATGACCTACAAGGTCCCTTCCAACTCTGATGATCTGTATCTGTATTGTGTCAGGGAGCAAGATAAGACTCTGTGAACCACTTAGAGAGGGCTGTAAAACACTGTAAAGCGGTATACAAGTCTTAATCTTTATTGCTATTGTTGTTCCTACAAACTCACTCCAGTTCTGTCTACAAGCCAAGAGCACATGTGAAATTCAAAAGCAGGACTCCCAAATCAATAATGAAGTATCAATAAAGGAAAATATTTATAGCTCTAATGAGAGAGTGGTCTTCTTGCAGAGATGTCATGACCCAAACTAGGTCTAATCCAGATAATGAAACATCTGCAAGAAAACAACCAAGTTCAGAGAACACCAAGGACCCTTTGATAATGAAGGCTCAATGTAGTATTTTGTTCATTCGTTCGTTCATTCGCTCATCCATCCATCCATCCATCCATCCATCCATCCATCCATTCAGTGAGCATTGGAAGAATATTCTCCGGAAAATAAAGAGAGGGACCCCTGCAGACCAAAAGATCCATTCATGTTTTTATATTTCAGGAAAGGAAGAGAAAAAGATATTCTCATACGTATGCATAGGTCATAGATGATGTAAGCAGAGATATTCATGATTAGCAAGTCTTACTTTCCCATACTTGTAGAGTTTCTATCTTTAAGAAAGAATTATAGTCTTAATAAAATGAAAGATTAGTTACCTTGTGATAGAAATTAAGATAAAGCTTACTGAGAGCTGAGTACTTCAAGGCTGCCTCAATTAACATATATTCCTTCTATGTTTTTATTTTGCTAATCCAGAAAGGAAAGGAAAGAAGGAAAGGAAAAGGAAAAAGGAAAAGGAAAGGAAAAAGAAAGGAAAGGGAAAGGAAAGGAAAAGGAAAGGAAAAGGAAAGGAAAGGAAAGGAAAGAAAAAAAGAAAGGAAAAGGAAAGGAAAAAGGAAAAGGGAAGGGAAGGGAAAGGAAAAGAAAAGGAAAAGAAAAGGAAAAGAAAAGAAAAGAAAAAGAAAAGAACTAGAAATCCAATATTCTGAAAAGCAAAGCTCCAGTCTGCTGCATCGTATCTATTTTCAGGAGTGCTCTTAATCGCCTTAAAGGTCTCCAAGATGAAAAACGTGTTGATTTTCTAGTATATTGTTATTTTTGCAATGGTTACATAATTTCCCCCTGAAATGTTGACAAGCCCTAAGATTTTTTGAATCCCATAGTGCATAATCAAGCACTCGAATTTCTCTTTTTTGGGCTCCCAAAGGCTTTGATCAATTTTTCACACATAGAACATAGAATAAAAGAACTGGAAGGGACCTTGGAGGTCTTCTAGTCCAACCCCCTATGCTATTTCAGACAGGTGGTTGATCCAATCTCTTGTTAAAAGCCTCCAGTGTTGGAGCATCCACAACTTCTGGAGGCAGGTTGTTCCACTGATTAATTCTTCTTACTGTCAGGAAATTCCTCTTAGTTCTAGGTTGCTTCTCTCCTGGATTAGTTTCCATCCGTTGCTTCTTGTCCTGCGCTCAGGTGCTCTGGAGAATAGCTTGACCCCCTCCTCTTTGTGGCAGCCCCTCAAGTATTGGAACACATGTCACCCCTAGTTCTTCTTTTCATTATACTAACTGGACCTTCCCAATTCCAGCAACAGTTCTTCATATGTTTTAACCTCCTGCTTCCTAATCACATGACACAGACAAGGAATAATGGATGGAAACTGAACAAGGAGAGATTTAACCTGGAAACAAGGAGAAACTTTCTGACAGTGAGAACAATCGACCAATGGAACAGAAGTTGCCCTCGGAAGTTGTGGGAGCTTCATCACTTGAGACTTTCAAGAAGAGATTGGACTGCCATTTGTCAGAAATGGTGTAGGGTCTCCCGCTTGGGCGTGGGGTTGGACTAGATGACCTATAAGGTCCCTTCCAACTCTGATTATCAGTTATCTGACACTGGCCAAGCTCCTGGAAGGGAGCTAATTTTGGTAGATTTAAATGAAAAACATGGGAACTCATGAAGGAATAAAGGTACTTAATAACAAGAGGGATTCTTCTCCCTATTTCCCAGTTGGGCAGCGTTTTTCAATCTTGGCAATTTTAAGATGTGTGAACTTCAACTCCCAGAATTGAAGTCCACCAAGACTTGCTGGCAAATTATGGGTAAATATCTTTAGGCCTAAGGCAGTGCTATGGGAATGAGGTGTCCAGCAGTATGATCGCACAGGGGAAAAACTATTTTTGTGCCTAATTGTTTTCGCATGCACTGGCTTGTAGTGGCGAAATCCCCCCCAGGCTGGCTGGGAAATCGTAGGAGTTGAAATCCATGCAGGCTGATTAGGGAATTCTGGGAGTTGAAGTCCACATAAGGTTGAGAACTACTACATAAGAAGTAGGCAGAAGAGCAGGAAAACTCATAACAGGTCCTGAGCTCACAAAATCGTATCAGTTGCAGAACTTTTAATAAAATAGACTCTTGATTTGCCCATTCCTTCAACCCAGGTCTGGATTAACTATTAAGCAAAATAAATAAATATTTAGGTTAACTAACAAAAGGTGAGTAACGCAAAGTTTCCCAACCGCCCCCCCATCCTTGCCACCATGCTCAATTTTAGATAATATTTTTGTAATTAATCTTTCTCTGACATGTCTGGCTTTATTTTGCATTGTTAAGGAAAGTGTTTACTTTGGTGGGGTGAGCTGCTAAATTTATAAGGGTTGGGTTGAAAGTGTAGGCCAGGTACCATCTTGGTTTCTGTCTCATGGTGTGAGTTTCACTTCCACCAAGTGACACCACTGATAGGTTGTGTGTGTGTGTAAGGCATTGTGTCTCAATGATTGGTCACTTGAAGATGGGTGGACTTCAGTTCTCAGAATTCCCCAGCCAGCCTGACTGAGGAATGCTGGGAGTTGAAGTCCGCACATTTTCATGTTGCTGAAGATGACTGACTGAATCCCTGTCCCAGGCAAGGCCCAGGTAAGAAGAAGCAGGGTTGGGATTTCAATGTTTAAACAACCGGTTCTGTGGGCGTGGCTAGGTGGGCGTGTCCATGTGACTGGGTGGGCATGGCTTTTTCTTTTCTTTTTTTGCAGCGCATCCCCCCGTTTTTTGCCTCCTGGGCCTCAGGGAAGCCTCCTGGGTGAAGCAGTAAGACAGCGAAGGGGATCCCTGCACAGCTGATCATCAGAACAGCTGATCATCAGGAGGGAGAAAAAGAAAAGAAATACCTTAAAGTGCAACTGGGCGGGGGAGAATGCAGTCAGCAATGTCGCGCATGCTCGATAAGGATTGACTGGGCAGGGAGGGCAGGAGAGGGGACAGCCAGGGGCACAATTTGCCAGTTCTCTGAATTGCACAGAATCATAACAACCGGCTCTATAGAACCAGTCCGAACCGGTAGAATCCCACCCCTGAGAAGAAAGCTTCAGATGGATTTCATTTTTATTGCATCATATTCCTGATTATTCCTGGTTACATCTGATCAACTGAGATTAATCAAGGTAGATAAAATTCCTCTACCAAGTAATGTACAAAGTGTCCCTCCATTTCACAAGTTTTCCTTTATTTCGACAGGATCTGAAAAATGCTAACTTCAGCCACAGAAGTTCCAGCAATAAGCCTGTCACTGCCAATGCAGAGATTTCAGAAGCCCGGTCAAGTCTGCAGGATAACCAAACACTTACTCACAGTAGTAACTGTTACAACACCGACACACCTTTGCAAGAAGCAAATGAGATCGGTACATTCCCTAGAGATCTGCTGATTAACAAGACGGTGGATGAGCTTCCGGAAGGTGTGGATCCCACCAAAAAGGAGGTAGGATGGGCTGTCCTGATTAGCATTATGCAATGGAGGGTTCTTCACACAATGTACAATGGTACAGTGTGCAATTTGGGGGATGTTCCCTAGATGTTTGTCCTAAGAAGCCCATGTACTGCATCATAATAACAAGGGAAGGAACCTAGGTCTTCTTGTTCTTTGCAGAGGCTGTGGCTAGGTTTGGGGAGTGTTGTTGACTCTTTCAGAAATGGAACATCTATAGAAGAGAATATTTGTAGCTCGGGGTTGAACCCTGGATTCCTCGGAGTTCTCTGAGCTTAGTGGTATTCTTACAGAGTATTGATGATGTTACCTAGTTTGGTAATGAAACGTCTGCAAGTAAACCACCAAGCTCAGAAGGCCCCAAAGACCCCACAATCTTCTTCTTCTTCCTCCTCCTCCTCTCTGCAAACTCCACTCCCTTCTAGCACTGATGATGTTCCCTAGTTCAGTAATGAAATATCTGCAAGAAAACA